GAGTCCTGCAAGAAACTTTTAAGGATTTCAAAATCATTTGGATTATAGTATTTTTTCACCTGGTCGGGACTTGCTTTACAGATTTCCCCTCTCTCGTTTTTAAGATATAAGACTACTCCTTTGATTTCCTGAATTACATAGGGGCCTTCAAACTTTGGAGCTAGCTTTGCCATAAAATTGTCTGGGGCACTTGATAAAGAAAATTTCCGTTTCAATACTTTATCCCCAACTTTAAAATCTGCTTCACGGCGTTTTCTATCGTAATATAACTTTTGTCCTATTTCTTGCCGTATCCGAGGTTTTAAGCGCCTGATCAATTAGCTTTTTGCACGTCCTTTTGTTTAAATTCCTGCTCTCTTTGTTGCACAAAGAATAATTTATCTAAAGGCGTAATTAACTTTCTGCCTAAAAATAATTCTGCTGGAGTTTTTCCCGTAGTATCATGATGTGCCGTTCTTAAAGCATAAGCTAATTCATTTATGTAGCCATCCCAGCGCTTGTGATGTGTGCTAACGTAACTGCGAATTATTTTTACAATGTTTTTTATTAACTCTTTCTGCTATGTTAGCCTGTGGTCTATACGGAACCATTTTGATATGGCGTATATCAAGTCCATTGCATATGTTTTCAAATATTTGACTAATGAATTGTTTTCCGTTATCGCTAATGACTTTTATCGGTGCACCGTATTTTAAAATGTATCTGTGTAAGAATGCATCTGCGACTGTTTTGGCTGACGCGCGTTTAAGTGGAACAATTTCTATCCATTTTGAAAAATGATCTACTATTACTAAAAGAAAACGATTTTTATTTAACTCGCTCTGGGGGAAGGGACCAAGGAGATCTATGCCTAAAATTTCATTCGGAAATGTAGCGCGAATGCTATTTAAGTACCCGGCCGGGCTGTAATTAATATCATTTATTAACTGACATTGATTGCAGGACCTGACATACGCCGTTACTATTTTGTATAATTGCGGGAAATATACCGCCTCGCGTACCCTTTTTAAAGTCTTTCTGACCCCGAGGTGGCCCGCTGTTTTTTTTTCGTGCAACTCCTTCAAAATGCTTAATCGAAGCGAGGCTGGGATGACTGGCTTATACTCAAGATTTTCGTTCGTTGTTTTCGTATAGAATAATAAATTATCTATTATTTCATAGTTTTTTGCTCTATTTCTTATCGCATCGATATCTGTATGCTCAAAGCCTTTCGGGGTCTTTCAAATAAGCATAGATATTTCCAAATTCAGGATCAGCTTTCAGTTCAGTAATAACCGTATCTCTAGAATCTAAAATTTTTGAAGTCAACACAGCGCATTTAAGTTCATTACCTTCATCGTCCAGTTTTATACGAGAAAGTGCGTCAGCTACATTGTTTTCCTTACCCGGTTTATATTTTATTGTGATATTATATTCTTGGAGTTTTAAAGCCCATCTTATTAACCTGGGCGTTAGGTTTTTTCCCGAGTAAAGTCTACCAACAGCCGCATGATCCGAAAAGACTGTTACTGGCGATTTGCCGAAATAAACTCGAAATTTGTGTACAGCCATTAATACGGCTAATGTTTCTCTTTCTGTAGCTGTATAATTCCTTTGTGTTTGATTCAATGTTTTACTAAAAAATGCCAGCGGATGGTTATTTTGCATAAGAACCGCACCCACCGCATAGTCTGATGCATCTGCCGCAATTTCCAGGTTTTCGTCCCCCTCAGGGAATTTTAAAACAGGGGCATTAATAAGCGCTTCTTTTAATCTTTCAAAAGCTGTGTTAGCTTCCGCTGTCCACGTAAATTTACTCTTTTTTCTTTTGATTACTAAGAGTGGTTCAACAATATTAGCGAAATCTTTTATGAAAGATCGATAGTAAGAACATAGTCCAAGGAAAGACGAAAGTTTCTTGGCGGTGTTGGGCGGTGGGAAATTCTTAATAGCTTTTATTTTTGAATCTTGCGTTTCTATACCCTTTTGCGAAATTTTATAACCGAGATATTTAAGTTCTTTAGTTGCGAACTTGCATTTTGAGGCGTTAATTGTAAGACCGGCCTCTTTTAATAATTTAAAAACTTGTTCGAGGTCATTAATGTGTTGTTCCAACGTACTACTCGTTATAATTATATCATCTAGATAAATTAAAGTTGATTTTCCTAGGACAGGCTTTAGAACAATGTCCATAGCTCTCTGGAATGTTGATGGGGCCCCACACAACCCAAAAGGCATGCGTAAAAATGCATAAGTGCCCGATTTTGTTATAAACGCGGTTTTATGTATATCTTCGGGTCTCATAGCTATTTGATAGTAGCCAGACGTTAAGTCCAAAGTAGACATATATCTCGTCGATTTGATCTGTCTAATGATCTCGTCTATAACCGGCAAAGGGTAAACTGGGAATTTAGTTATGCTATTTAGTTTTCTATAATCGATAGCAAACCTCCAAGCCCTTTTATCCGAAGGAGGAAACTCGTTCTTTTTCCTACATAGTACGACTGGACTCGCGTATTCACTATTTATGGGCGTTATTATTTTATTCTTTAACATCTCCTGAATATGTTCTTCGATGATTACGTCTTTTTGTTTGTCATAGCGGTAAGGTTTAGTCCTACAAGGTTTTTCGGCATTTAATTGAATCTTGTGAGTCACGATCTGACAGTTTCCCGGTTTTTCTGAAAACAAATGAGAAAAATTACTCACCACTTGCTGTATTGCTTTACTTTCCTGGTCATTCAAATGGCTAAGGTCCAATTCAGGTGTCTCCACCGGTTCCACCACCCTCTGGTCCATCTCCAGCACCACGGAACTATCTTGAAAATTTAATTTGGCCCTCGCGGCCCTTAAAAAGTCCATACCTAAAATAAGAGAGTGTTGGAGGTGTTTCACCACAAAAATTAATACTTTGAGATTTTCCTCTTTTACCTGTACGTTTAATGCTACTACTTTCCCGATGCAGTGACATGTTTTTCCTTGCGCCGCTATAATTTCCGTATTTCTGGTTTTAAAGAGTCGTATCCTATAAAAATTCTTTTTGAAGAACTTTTCACTCATGAAATTTCCTTCTGCCCCTGTATCGATGAGGGCTTCTACTGGTACATCATCGCCAACCAGGACTTGTATAATTGGTAGCTGTGAGTTTTTTACGATGACTGTATTTAGATGTCTATTTGAGGGTTTTTCTAAAACTTCCGGGGTCTGGACCCTCCCTTTCACAGGCCCCTCTAGTCGTTTAAAGCTTTCCTTTCAATCTGTGTCTTCTGGGTACGCGGATGCTTATTTTCAAATTTTCTTTTTGGGCCTTGACCTTCAAGTTTCGATGCGTTAGCTTGATAGTTCTTTCCCCCATATGAGCGATTTCCATTTCTTGTTTCCTCCTTCCTCCTCTCCTTCTGGTACTTTGAGAATATGTTTCCCCTCTCGCTCTTTCCGCGATTCTGCGATTTTGAAACTTCACCGCCAATTCGAAAAGTTCCTGCAATGTGGTTGGGTTTCTAATTTCAAAGTAGTCTTGGACAGCGGGTAACAATCTTGGTAATATTATTTCAATAATCTCCGCATCGGGTTTCTTTCCCATACAGCATATCCGTTAGCTTGATTTTTCGTAAAATAAAGTCCGTCAATTGTGCTGTATCCCGTTGATAGAAACTATATAGCTCGGCTTCCAGCCGTGCGCGATCTTTCACTATGGGGAAGGCCTTTACTAACGATTTTTTGAAATTTTCAAATGTATACGTCGGGCTTCCAAATTCACCTAGAAGAAATTTGCCTATATTTTTCCACCATAGCGCGGCCTGTCCTCTTAGTGCTGATGTGGCGATAGGCAACTTTTTGTCTTTCAGGCACAGGATAGAGCTGAAAGTGGTTTTCTATACCTTCTAAAAATACGGACACCGAATTTTTTCCGTCGAAATAGACGTTTGGCTTGATTGATGCTCTCAAAGTCTGGACCAGGTATCCAAATCCTTCTAACTGCGTTGTCATTTCTTGGTGTTGTCCAGCGGCTTCCATCCAGTTTTCGGCCATTTCAGTTCGATAAGTGTTCGGGCGCCAATATAACGTTGCGCGCCTCTAACTAGCACGCAACCAAGAGGTGACTGTGAAAGCTTGTATAAACCACAGAGTCTTATAAAGGGTTTAAGTCCCTTTTTATTCAACGTACTAAATTACAATTGCGTTCCTCTTGACGCTTACAAACGGTGCCAACTAGGCAGTCAAAATAAAAATAAAACCTGAAAAGAAAATAAAGACAATATTCTAACTACGAGGCTCTCTAAAATAACTAACTCACCGCGTTTTACAAATACCGCAGCTAATTCAGCAGACTTGAAGCTCACTGGAACAATTGCAACTACTTCCCGCCAAGCACATAGGCCGCAACGCGGGGTTCTTTCAATTCTCGATTTAACTACCTCCGCGCTCGCTAAGTAAGAATAACTCTCTCTCACCGAACTTGTTTCCTTCTATTTAAATCATACTACTTTCCGCTGATAATTTGAATGCTTGCGCGTTCTACTCAAATTTACATATTCTGGCATTGGCAGTTCCAGGGGAAAGTAAGGCTTGACAGGAAAGATAGTTTAAACTTAAAATAAATGTTAGTTAAAATAAATATAAACCCTACAAATATGTTACCCAAAATGTGTCACCTACAAACAAATTGTTACCTCATAACTCTTTATTTATAAATAGTTCCTTCTTTCAGCTTCGACAATCCACGATTAATATTTATAAAGTTGTCTCATGCGAAAAACTTCTCCTTGTAATTCTACCGCTCGAGATGAACCTTCTCCTCCTCCCCCCTCCAGCTACGCTACTCTATATAAAACACGGCAGCACTAAATATGATTCGGGAATTGTAACTCGGAAATGAAGTTCAAATCTTATAACTTTAAGCTTACAATATCCAGAGAATGAAAAAATATTCTGCTATTATTACTGGTCAAGAGTCACTCCATTTTTAATTATTTTGTGTTTCCTATTCCACAATTATTAATAAAGATAATTTTTTTCAGATAATACGAAATTTTAAATTGGAGTACCATCATGAAGAGATTGATATGTTGACTAGAATGATTAATGTTCCAGATAAACCTCTGAGGATCAATTTCATTGAAAGATAAAAGCCATGCTTCAAGTAACTTAAAAGTCGGACTGATATTTATTTTAAACATTAATGACATATTTAAGTAATGTATTTAAATTGCAGCATTGTAACCACGCTTTAAAGTCAAACTTATATTTATTTAAAAACATTAATAACATATTAATTTAAAACTGATATATATTTAAAAATATTAATAACATATTTATTTAATGTATATAAATTTATTCCATTTATATGTATATAAGCTTGTTCTTATACTATTTATTTGTTGATCCATATATTTAACTTATTTTGCTGCCTTATTATGATATATTTGTTTGAATATTTAAATTACAAGATTTTAAAGATTTATATGCATACTTCTGTATGTGCTTGTATGTAAAAATAAATAAGCAGAAGCGATTCAAGTAAATTTAAATTATACTTTATCTAAAAATAACGCTTCATTTCGTTTATTTTTAGTACAAAGGGGCTTTGTCTCTGAAGGACTATTGTTTTCGTTTTGCGATCTTGCGTTGGTTCACTATAAATGTCCGTTTCACTTTTCAAACTGTTGCCACTAAATGTTAGAGGCCTGCATTTATTTGAAGAAATTAAATAATGAAAAATCTGCATAAATGTATGTATATTTCTCGCATTGTGATAAAACAACGCTACATAGAGCCATCGAATTTTGAATGACGTCGTCTTACTGCGAATATGGGCATGTGAAAGCCCATATTTGAAATTTGGAATTTGTTTTATGATCGATTTCTTTGTAAAACTTCAACGAATTTTTGATTAACAAACTCAAGGAATTCAAAGCCAGCAATGGCAACGTTGTACAGAAGAAACATTTTTATTTCTAGCGCGTGAGACTATGTATCATAAATTCTAAAGATATGCTCAGTTTAAAATTATTTTGTGATTTTGCTCTTGAACTGAATTTTACACTGGTGTGTAAAAATTAAGGACGAGACGGTTTTTTTCAATATAACTTTGTACAAAAGCTTTCCAAATCAACACATTTAATACCGTAAGATCCCCAATACGTAAGGACATGAGTAATGTAAGCAACACTTACTAAAAGAGAAAATCAGAGGGATAAAAAGAAGTTTTATTGAAAAAGTAGCATGGAGCGCAATGCGACTGAAGGCCGAAACATCCTGTGATGGGTGTCCAGCAAGAAACATCCGGTCTTTAATAGGGGATATGATCTCCCCTGACTGCTAGGCAGGTTTCACAGCGTCTGCCCATGCTGAGAATGAGGGTGTCAATGAGTTGTTGAGGCATTGCTGCCCATTCGTCTTGCAGCGCCAATCGAAGCTCCGGAATCGTTACTGGTGGTAAGGTACGAGCTGCCAAGCGTCTGCCTAGAAAATCCCATACATGCTCGATGGGATTGAGATCCGGAGATCGTGCCGGCCAATCCATACGTTCAATATCCTCTCTCTCTAAGAGCTGTTCGGCAGCTACTGTGCGATGACATGGTGCATTGTCGTCCATGAAAAGGAACTGCGGACCCATAGCGCCTCTAAAAAGACGCACATATGGAAGAAGAATCTCGTTACAATAACGGGTCCCGTTGACTGAACCTGCGTCGAAGATGTGAAGGTCTGTACGACTACCAAGCATGATGCCTCCCCAAACGAGAACACCGCCACCTCCATACCTGTCCCTTTCAATGATGTTCGAGGGATGATTGCGGCTTCCCCGCTCTCTCCAGATGAGTATGCGATGAGAATCGCTACTCAGACTGAATCTGCTCTCATCTGTAAAGAGTACTCGTTTCCCATTCATTGTCTCTCCAATTCCGGTGTTCCCGGCACCACAGAGAACGCCTTCTCCGATGGGCAGGCGTTAGAGGTACACACCGTACAGGGCGTCGTGCAAACAGACCACCACCGTGCAGTCTTCTGGCCACGGTAAAACGCGATATCGGTCGTCCAGTCGCCTGTGTCGTGTGTCTAGCGATTTCTCCCGCTGTCTGCCGCCTGTTTCTTCTGGCCTGTAAGGCAATATACCGGTCATCTGCGGGTGTGGTTCCTCGTGGACGACCACTACTAAACCCCCGGATAGCTGTTCCTGTAGTTTGAAATTGTTCCCAAAGTCGTGAAACGATGCTGTGAGCAATTCCGAACTCTGCAGCCACACTTGTCACACTGCGGCCTTCCTCCAACTTCCCAATGATTCGACCTCGGGTAAAAGCATCCAGATGTCGTCTAACAGATTGATTATTCGCCATTTCTCGCTGAGGCAGCAACTCGGTGTGATTTTAACTGCTATACGGCGTGCTCTTTGCCAGAAATACTGATCTTACACCGACAACATGCTTTATACTACTGAGACACTCCCCTATTACGTCTACCTGCATATCTGCGCATGTGCTACCGTACATCACCTTACTTAATCTCCTGATTGGTCTTTCTGTCCGCTCTGCCTTTTCGTTCAGCTGATATGCTAATTTTTCGACTTCGTCCTTAATTTTTGCACACCAGTGTATGGTTTAAGCGTGATGAACATGATATTTGATAAATAAAGGTAACCCACAAAATGTTAAATAAACACCCCTTTTGGACGTAATTTAAAATCTGAAACCTTTCAGATTTTCTTTTTTGATTTCTTTTTTTTATAATGTAATTGAGTTAATCTTCCGCTAGTATAGGAAACTGGGATTTTAGATGAAGTATTTATTTTAATCTAAAATAAAATTTCATCTAAAGCAACATTTACAAAAGTGATAACATATAAAGTTATAGGTTTCTTCTGTATTAAAAATGGGAACTTGTTTCCTATAACATTCAAATACCATCAATAATAGCGAAAGCCGCTACGGTATCCTCAGTCGGAAATTAACAGATAACTGGCATTGCTTTCCACTCTAAGTTCACAGGGATGTTTCATACATTTTGCAGTACAAGTAAAAAAACGCCAGTTAATGACATCTCGTCTAGGATAAAATTGGTATATTTGCTTGTTATCGTAATTACTTTGGTAGAAGTCACCAAATTTTGAGAATGAGCCAAATTCTAGCAATCATGCACATAAGAGTTCTTCAAATTTAACAAACAATAAATATTACTACTTTCGTATGCTTTTTGTTGTATTCTATTTCCCAATGGTTTCTTTAATACACTCATGTCCATAAATTAAGCATAATTCGGAGTCACGCGGAAATCGAACTCTAAAATAAATATATCACTTGTAAAATCACTACACACATCTTCAAGAATCATATGCAAATTTCAGGAAGTAACCAGATGACACCGATGGTACGTCACAATGACGAGAGTGTAAGAGAGTGATATATAAGGAATACAGGCAAAGAAGTAAAATTGTTCGCAGGCGCTTTAGAAGCATTTCAGTGCAATAACCGAATAGTTATGACACAAAGGATGTATTTGGATGATTTTTTACGTGGTAGAATTATCGGCCGTCTGGAATGTGAGCGTACCCAACTGGAAGTATCAGACGAACTTAGAATTGCCCAGAGTGTCATCTTCAGGCTTTGGCAACGATTCCAAGATGATGGTAATGTGAGTAGACGTTACAGCACAGGTCGCCCGGAGTTACAACGCCGAATGAGGACCGGTATTTGGCAGTTACTGCCAAAAGACACAGGCGGAGCACAGCTTTAGACCTGTCTCGTCAGCTCTCTTCAATCACTGGTACGACAATTTTAAGGCAGACCGTGTATAGACGCTTAGGGCAAATTGGTCTATATGGTCGTAGATCTGTCAGATGCGTTCCACTTACTGCAACTCACTGTCGCCTGCGGTTAGCCTGGAGTAGAGAGCATGCATTGTGGACACCGCAACGTTGGGCTTGTGTGATGTTTTCTGACGAGTCCAGGTTTAGCTTGCAGTCTGATTCTCGCCGGACTTTCATATGGAGAGCTCCAGGTACCCGCTACCACCAAGAAAACATCATTGAACGACACCGTTACGGTGGTGGAGTGCTCATTTGGGATGGAATTATTCTGGGTTCCAGAACTGACCTGCATTCTCAAATTGGAACCATGACAATCCAAATCGATCGGGACGTCATTCTGGAACAACATGTACGTTTGTTTTTCGGGGGGCGCCATGGGCGCACAATTTGTGTTTATGCATGACAACGCCCGTCCTCACCGTGCAAACATCGTAAGCGAATGCCTTCAATCGGAGGATATCAACCGTATGGACTGGCCAGCATTCTCACCGGACTTGAATCCAGTAGAGCACGTGTGGGACATGCTTGGCCGACGAGTTGCAGCCCGTCAACCTCCTCCTGCATGTCTACGGGAACTTCGGAGAGCATTGCCTTTTGACTGGTGTAATATCCCCCAAGATCAGATCGATAATTTGATACTCAGCATGCCTAGGCGTTGTATGAACTGTATTGCATCGTCTGGGAAACATACAATGTATTAACAATCATACCAACCATGTAATATTGGTTTTTTGTAAGTAGGTTTTTTTTTTTTTTTTTTTTTTTTTTTTTTTTTTTTTTTTTTTTTGTAATTTGCTCTAGGGAGAAAAAATTGCAAATTTTTTAATAATATCAAATATATAGCATCTTTTTTTTGCTCTTTACCTTTTGTTTAATAAATGAGCTTTTCAAATAAGTCAAATTTGTTTTGCTTCTAACTCTTCCTTTGCCTGATTTTGCATTATACTTAATTTATGGACATGAGTGTATATATTGGTTTGCGAGACTTATGTGAAATGGAAGAAATTGTGGCAAAATTTATTCAGGAAATTTTTTTGTCTCAAATTAGCTAAAGGCAATTGCTACTTTAAATCTATTTTCAAATTGATTACTAAGAAATTTCCACCACAACAAAAGAAACAAAAGCCCACTTTAATAGGTTTACTAATTCATTTTAGGAATGAATACATTATTAAAGTGTAAAACATGCATGTTGTAACATGTATATACATAATAAATAATTTTTTGCGATTATAAGTTATCATCATTTTTCTTCTGTGAAATACCGCCAATTTACGCGAAGTCAGTTGCGGTAGTACTTAGTTACCGAAATTTGCAATTT